CCTGGACAGGAATTTGCCAACAGACACAGATGTTTTCTGCATCAAAACTAGATTTAAGTCGCTTTGACTTAGCAATTTGACCCTCCACGTGACAATTGAACTATTTTTAAAGGGAGCTTGGGAATTATCTGGAAATAATTATCCAAGTCCCCACTGAGTGGAGGTTTGTCAGCTGTTTGCAGACTATGGGATGATGGATGGTAGATTATTTCAGGGGTTGCTAATTACCTAATTCCACCTCTGTTGTTAGTTTTGTCTGCTATTTGAAATATTCCTGATATTTATATCTGAATTCTTCCTAATTGCTCTAAGTTTCTCGTCCACTATGTGTAATATTTTACTATGATGTTTCTTCATGCTCATAACAAAAGACATGCATCTCATTCTTAAAAAAAAAAAAAAAAAGAGAAATTAACACCTTAAGAACATTTAAATAATGCAATATGTGCATTAGAAATTTAGAAGACGAATCATGTTGAATACTGCAATATTTACATTAGAAATTTGGAAAAAAGATCATCACATCTAAATCCCAATTGAGTGTATCACACTGAAGCCTAATTGATTCATTAACTTCAGGAGAAGATAGCCTGTGTTTTATCATCAACAGCTCAAAGCAGTCACCTGTTCATTCCTCTGAACACAGTACTCTGAACCCTGTCCCAGTAGGAGAAATTTTCAGGATCAAGTTCTCTATCTCAGCTGGGTCCTCTGAGATTTCAGTTCTCTCCTTGTTTGGGGCTTTAGCTTCCTCTTTCTTTGGGGCTTTGGCTTCTTTCTTTTCTCTGGGGCTTTGGTTTCTTCCTTCTTTGAAGCTTTGGTTTCTTTCTTTAGGGTTTTGCTTTTCTTCTTCTCTGGGGGCTTTGGTTTTCTTTTTCTTTGGGCTTTTGGTTGCCTTCTTCTCTCTGGATTTGGTTCCTGCTTTTCTGGAGGTTTTTTTTTTTCTTTGGGGGTTTGGTCTCCTTCTTCTCTGGGGCTTTGTCTTCCTTATTCTCTGGGGCCTTGTTTTCCTTCTTTGGGGGTGTGGTTTTTTTCTTCTCTGGTTATGTAGGTTGTTTGCCCACGGAGACACCTTTCTTTTCCTCCTTCCACCTCTTTCTCCTCTAAGGCTTTTTTGCTTCCTCAAGCTTTTGAGTCAGCTGCTTCAGATCCCTTCTGTAGACAAAGTAGAAAACATTGCAGAGAGTCACTACCAGAAACTTGGGCTCACTCGTCCTGGCTGGCCCTGCACTTCATTCCTTGACCCTGAGGCAAGGCAGAAATCGTGAGACCATTTCCCTGAATTTTCCTCAACCCACAGAGGTTGAGAACATCCCAAGTGAGGGGCTTGGTGGAAGGGGACCTCCAGGACCAGCCAGACCTGAGCCTTGCCATCGTAAGATCTTGAGTGTGCAACCTCCCTCTTAAGGCACACCCAGACACCTCCAGCCCACTGCCAAAGGTTGATCCACTAGCTCTCTGCACTGATGCCCGAAAACTTTGTCTCTTGACTTCCCAGTTTAAAGCAGATCACAAATTACTAACATCTGCTTTTCTCTTTTTCTTTCTTAGCTCATTCAGCCCCCTTCTCCCTGGGCATAGCCTGCTCCTTAAGGAGAATAATCCTGTCAGTCAGAAAGCAAAGGCTGCAGGAGCTCCTCTCCTGCAAGACAGGCTCTTGTCAGCCAGATTTCCTGCTGGAACCCAGCTGTGACCAAGCAAACTGGGGCTGTCTGCCATGGAATCGATCTGAAGCAGCCTCATCTGTCTCATCCCCATGAAACCACCTTCAGCCTGGGCTGAAGGAAGTCCTGGCACACAGGCTTGCTTTAAGCAGCCTCCACTCCCAGCTGCACACTTTGTGTGTCCTGAGCTGGGCTGCCCTGCTGGAGCAGAGCTTCTCCTGTGCTTGCCTACTGCTGCAGCTGAAGGGGAGCCTAAAGGACAGGAGTGGTGTCCCACCATAAGGAGAACCCTGGCAGATCAGCAGTGTAAGGACTTTATTTGTGGCAGCACCAGGACCCAAACCAAGGTTTGGTCTGTGCCCCACACCTGCCCATACCACAATCCCACTGTTTTGGTGAAGAAGGGAGATGATGAAGAAGGTGTGACTCAACACCATGGACTTAAAGACACCTCTACAGGCAGTGCCAAGGTAAGCCCAGAGCCCAGCTCCCTGCAGGCAGCATCTAAACCAGGAGGGCTCACCACTGAAATAGAGAAGATGTTCTGTCTCAACAGAAGAAGGTCCTTTCTCTCTTGGGAGCCAGGCAGCTAAGAGTGGCCATCCCTGTGTTGCTTCTGGCCTTTGCTATCCAGCACCTCTGAGCTCAGAGTCCTTGGAGCAGGGAAGCCCTCCAGGGCCAATAACCCATGGAAGAGCAGTGATCCATGGAAGGCTTACTCACCTCTCCCTCCATATGCGCTTCTTTTCTGGTATTATTTTATCCATTTCTGCTTTATTCTCCTGAGGGAGGGCATCATACTCATCATCCATTTGCAAGACATTTTGTTTCTCTGGGTAGCTTTTTTCTGCTTCAGTTCTTTAGTACAAACCAGAGGAGAAACTGTGAGTGACTGCAAGCAGAGCTGGGTACTCTGGGTCAGCTGCAAGGATTCACAGCTTTTCCTGACCCAGCCAGGAGATACTGGGGAGCTCATATTCCTGTTCCAAATTCAGGCAATCCCCGAAACTATGGCCAGGCAGTAAGGGCCCCATTCCCTCAGACCCCAGGAAAGGAGATTTGGTGAAAGCAATTTCTCCAAACCTTAGCCATTTATTGAAACCGTTTTTCCTCCCATGGAAGTTTATTGGTTCACTGTTGTTATCCCCGCCTAGGTTTTTTATTCCCAACTCTCCTTATTTGTTGAAAATTGCACCTTCCCCTGACCTCCCCCCACATGTAAGTCTTTGTTTGCCCCTTGATCGGGGTCCCAGGGGAGGAAAAGGGGAAGTTTACCATCAAATAAAGTTTCCCTGGGACCCGTGTGCGCTGCCTGTGTTTTATAATGCACCGAAACAACTGACAGCTGGGATTCAACGGAGCTCCAGGGGGAACCTGCCACCCCCCACCCTTGTCATCAGCTACCCGGAGAAAGAGAAGCGGCAAGACCCCACTGCCATCCGCAGGATCGGTGTGTCGAGGGAAGAGAAACCGTATGGAAGATTCCTTTTCTTGCCTTTCATCACACGGACTCAACAAACGCATTTTCTGTCTCCTCCCTTCCTCCCAACAACACAAATTATTTAGTTTAGGTCCTCGTGCAGCATGTCAGCAGTGCTGGCTTTGCCCTGGGGCTTGCCTCCATCTCCCTGGCGCAAGCCTGGGAATGCTGGAGAGCTGTGAAGCTTAGGCACCATGGACATAGGGACCAGAGCTGCCTTCTCACCTTCCGCTCCTCAACAAGGTGCTGCTCATCAAAATCCAGTGAGTAAAACGCAGTGGGGAAGGAGATGGCCATTTTAAACCAGCAGTGTGTGGGAAGTCCGTGGAGCACCTGAATTCCTCAAACCCTACTGGGAGCTGAGGGATTTCAGGAGTTTGTGGTGGCACCTGAAAAAACAAGCCATTTTCTATGCTAGGAGGAAGAGACAGCCACTTGCAAAGTCTCAGTTTGTAAGACAGCTTCAGGGCCACTGTAGGAATGTGCCCCCTATTGATGGAATGACAAAACTATCCTTTGTCTCCCTAAAAAGGAAAAAAGCCTAGAAGTTTCTTTCCCAGATATGGTATAATTGAAAGAACAGACTCAGATAAAGGTGCACACTTTACTTCAAAAAATTTTATATTCTATATGTGTTGTATTAGACATAAATTGGAAATTTCATACCCTGTGGCACCCTCAAAGCTCTGGATGTGTGGAGAGAATGAATGCTGTCATAATAAAAAGAAAGGGTGGATTGTGAGAGACAATTGTGACATTTTGCTGAAGCCAAAAGGTTGTTAGGTTAGGTGTTAGTTCTGTGTGGTGTTCGGATTGTTTGGATTTGTTCTGGTTGGTTCATTGAGTGTTGCTGTGAGCTGGGAGAGGGGTGGGGTTGAAGACCTGACTAAAAGAAGTAGGATGAGCGGGGAGGGGACCATACATTTACAGATGACACCAAGCTGGGAGCATGTGTCAATCTGCTGAAGGAGGGCTCTGCAGAGGGACCTGGACAGGCTGGATAGATGCGCAAGTCCAACAACATGAAGCTGAACAAGTCCAAGTGCCCAGCCCTGCATTTTGGCCACAACAACCCCTGCAGGGCTACCGGCTGGGGACAGAGGGGCTGCACAGTGCCCAGGCAGAAAGGGTGGGGGAAACTTCATCACTTTCTACCTGAATGAAAGGTGGTTGTAGTCAGGTGGGGCTCGCTCTGCTCCCAGGCAACAAGTGACAGAATGAGAGGGCACAGTCTTAAGCTGTGCCAGGAGAAGTTTAGGTTATATGTTAGAAAAAAAATTCTTCACTGACAGAGTGACTGCACGCTGGAATCGCCTGCCCAGGGTGGAGTCACCAACGCCGGACAGGTTTAAAAAAAGACTGGATGTGGCACTCAGTGCCGTGGTTTAGTTGATGCTGCGGTGTTAGGTCATGAGTTGGACTAGATGATCTTAAAGGTCTTTTCCAACCTAATTTGTTCTGTGATTCTGTGAAAAGTTGGTGGTCGGGAGAGAATGGAAGTTCCTGAGTACCCATCCAATGGCAGAGGGGACAGGGACCACCCCGGCCAGGAAAAGGTGTAAAAAGCAGCCGTTTCCTCGGGCCGTGGGTATGTTGGCCTCTTGGGCACGGGAGGCACACTCCTGGCTCAGCTGAATCGTTACTAATAAGCAGTTTTCCTTTGCTTCGACCATTTGTCCCCATTGAATTGTGCCTAAAAGTTCGTGCATTTCTAACACCGTGGAGGGGGAATAAGGTGATCTTTAAGGTCCGTGTTCTATGGTTCTGTGACTGGGCACGACTGCGGCCCTTTCACGGTCCTTCTCCCACCGCGGTGCCGGAGTTGGGGAGGAAGCGATGGAGCGGCCGGGGACACTCCAGAGGGGGACAGGGAACAGGAAAGGGAGCGATGCAGCCGGCCGGTGTCGCTGTGCCGCTGCCGGGCCGGGCCGGGCGATGGCGGCGGAGCGGGAGCGGCCGGGCCCCGTTCCCGGGCCCTGCTCAGGGCCCGCGGGGGATGAGCGGGCCGCGGCCGGACGGTGCCGGTGCTCCGCTCTGCCCGCTCCGGGGCACGGCGCCCTGGAGAAGGCCCGGCGCCGCCTGAGGGAGTTCGATGTCGGGGACAGGTTCTGCCGCTTGCCGCTGCCCCGAGCCGCCGTGCTGCTGCCGCTCACGGTGCGAGCGGGGCGGCTGCACCTGCTGCTCACCGTCCGCTCCCTGCAGGTACCGGGGCTCCCAGGGTGCGATCCTTCCTTCCCTGCCGGGGAACCATCGCCGTGCGTGCCCCCAGTGCCGCCCCTCGTTCCCCAGGGCACGGCCGGCTGTTTTTACACTCCTGTCCTCCTGCTGTTTGCCTGCCAGGAGCACCCCGGACACCCGTGACAGGAAATTATCATTGTGGGCAATGATTGCTTGCTTAAATAAGGAAACTGACCGTGCAGCGCAGCTTTGTTAAATGAGGGGTTTCAATCTGCACTTAGTACTACTCTTTTCTCCTTTTAATACATAAAAGGCAACAACCCAAGGCTGCCAGAACTCTTTGTCCAGCATTTTGTTTTCTTTTCCAACTCTTGTTTTCCTGTGTCACATCAACTGACTGGACTCAGGAATTACTTTTTTTCTCTCGCTGGGTCTTGCTTAAAAAGCAAATACAGTTCCATAGCTGATACATTGATTATAAATGTGTTTTTTACTGATCCTTGACGCACAAGCCTACTACTGCAATGTACTTAAGGGTATTTTAGAAATACCTACTTTTTTGATACAGGCAAGAGGGGACACAGTCTTTGATGCAATGACTAAGTAATTTAATTTGTAATGAATCGGGTGTGTGTCTCCCTCCCCAGAGGCGAAAACACACACACTCTTGGCAGTCAAATGGCAATCTTTTATCCCCTTGTGTGGCTGAGGGATAATTTAATTTGTAATGAGTCAGCTGGGTCGGGTGCATGTCTCCCTCCCCAGAGGTGAAAACACACCCACTCTTGGCAGTCAAATGGCAATCTTTTATCCCCTTGTGTGGCTGAGGGTGATCCCTCTCCCCTTTCCCACTGAATGGCTACTCAGGAACTCAGGCGCTCTCCAGACTGCCAACTCTTCTGTCCTTTCCCTTCTCATCCTTTTTTCTTGTTTTGGTCATGTCTTCAACCCTGCCCCTCTCCTGGTTTCTCAACAACACCCAACAAAACATATCCCAACTATAGATAACAACAAAGAGCAAACAGAACCAACCATTTTCGTTCTTCTGCTCCGTAATATTTTTGGGCTGAAGCAAAATGTTATTTCCTCTCTCATGGGTACATTATTTGTGTCTTTCAAAAGTTTTTGCTCTTGGAATATTTTAATCTTGCTCTACAAGTTATCTCTCTGGATTCATCTGTCATTTATGCAAACAAGATGATGCAAAATGTGAACTTTGACATAAGTAGAAGTTCCAGTATGGATTACACAACACTGTACAGCTACAGTGTATTTTCTGATAGTGAGGGTTTATGGAGTAGCAGGGGATAGCCTCAGAGTTTTCTTAGGTAGCTACTCTCGCTAAGGCACATTTCTTCTGGTCTGCAGAAACCTTAACCACCATTTCCAGCTTCTTTGACTGGAAAGATAAACATAAAGGGATGCTGCAATACCAACGTGCATCTGTGTGGGTCCAATAAGAAACATAAACCTTGTTATATTTAACAGCAGTACTCCTTTACATTCTAGCTGAGAAGATCACCAGGGGAAGTGTGTTTTCCAGGAGGTAAAAGGGAAGCCACTGATAAAGATGACATTGACACTGCTCTCCGAGAAGCTAAAGAAGAAGTGGGTCTTCAGCCAGAGAAGGTGGAAGTCATCTGTAGGCTGATGCCTGGAATTGATAAAGTAAGTCAGCATGTCAGCACAGAATAAGTTTGGGTGGTTTTCACTTGTGAGGCTGGCAGTGACCTTTTCCAACCTGGAGCTGCCAGGAGGCGCCGCTTCTTCACGTGCACAGCCCGTGTGTCCAGCAGAGCCCAGGGAAAGGGTTCTTGCTCAGAGTTTGGTATTTGTGAGACCAGCTCTGGGGCACCAGTCAGTGCCTCTGGAGTACCACACTGACAGCGCTGCCCTGGCGAGAGCTCAGCAGAGAGCCACGAGTGCAGTCGTGGGGCTACAGCGAGTGGGTGATGAGCAGACAGGCTGAGAGAGGTGGGCTTGCTCAGCTTGAAGGCTGCCAGGGGATTTGGCTGCTTTCTTCTCCTGGCGAGTCAGAGCATGATACCAGAACTCTTCTTGAGGCAGTGAACACAGCAGCAGCATGGACGTTTTGATGAGATACAAGAAAAATTCCTCTTCACCATGAGGTCAGCCCAAAAGTGGAGCAGATGTTCCTGGCAGGCTGTATAATCTCCATCCCTGGAGCTGTGCAGAGCTCACTCACCCAGGCTGCTGTAGCCTCACAGGTGTCTCCTGCGGTGTCTGCTGGCTCCAGGGCTGTGCACACAGAGAGGGAGCACCAGAGGGGATGTGCACCAGGATGGTGTGCATCATCTTCCTCCAGCAGGGAGACTCCCAGAGGTGTCTTTGGAGTGTAGGTCACCATTTGTAAATTAACAGCTTCTCAGTTTCAATAGCAGTGTCAGTATTACATAGGATCAGTTTTCCCACAGAACAGAGGAATTGCTGTTTCTGAAGGCTATTTTTGTTCACCAGGTAAAACTCTATTACTATGCCTCCTGTTCTTTTATCTGTCAGCAGTACCCTCTCCCCATTAAAAAATAAATACCTACTTTTGAAATTGTATTGAAAACAGCTTTATTTAACAACTTAAATTATAATTTCTCTACAGATGACCTTAGAACCACACAGTTCAGAGGCAGTGTGTAAAAAGGATCATATTTTCCCTGTTTTTAATTTCTGGAGAAAGACCTACCTTTGAAGTGGATTATGATCTTGACAACTTAATTTCATCCTCTGAGAATTACTTCACTAATTTGTATGCATCTGTACATGAAAGAAAGAAGAGTAATCTGTGACAGTTTGGTCTGGCCATTCATTTACTTTGAAAGAGGAGAAAGGAGCTGGGCTTATTTCCTTTGTACTTCTTGTTTGAAAGCTACAATTGAATTTCTTCAGAACTGGGAATTTTTAAATTGACAATCCCTAACTGGATTCATGTAATTTTTAATCTCTTTGAAGACCTGCGAGAAGCACACAATATTTTCTGTGAAACAGACTTTCAAAAGGTCTGTTTCAGTTCCTTCTCAGTTTCAGTGCCTTTGTTCTGTGTGTTTCTGTGCTTTGCTTTGTCTATAATGAGATAATACTATTTGATGGAATTTGTGTCTGAGTTAACCTATGAAAACTTTTTGGATCTGACTCTGACATGTGCCATATGTGGATAACATGATTCATACAGTCTTGTCTGGTATCTTTGAGCACTTACAGAATGCACAATAAAAATACAAAAGGTTTCAGCTGCTTTCACAATCTTTTATTGGTAAACGAGGTGGGCCAATGCCAATCCTCGAGGTTCTTATGGCTCAGTAGGTTCTTCAAAGAGCTTCCCAGTTTCTCTTGAACTTCTCAAGGTTTGTCTTCTGAAGAATATTTGGATGATTCAGTTTCTTGATCCTCAGCTGAAATCTCAAGGTTGGCAGCATCACTGGAGAAGAAGCCACGTTATTCTCATTCCCATTATACAACTATAGAAATAGGCTTTTTTTTTGAAACAGTATTTTTTTCAGCTTAATCTCTGCCTTCCAGAACAGGAGAGAAATGCTTTGTGGAATCATACACCAATAAAAAAGAAAATGAGGGCTATCATGAATAAGGCCATTTGGAGACCACAAAGTTCACCAGTTCAGTTGCCCTTCTTACCATTTACACAGCTAATGAAGAAGAGTTTGCTGGTGCTTGGCCCTTCACTGACTCTGAATATTCTGCTCACTTTATAAGTATTAACACATGAATACAAATATGTCTCTCAGTCACCAAAGAGCACACACCACAAGCTCTCCAAATTCAGCAAGTGGCCCAGAAATCTTATAATCTGATTATGGCAGTATTTGTCTGAGAGCTCAAAGTATGGAGCATGGTCTGGCCACAAGCAAAGGCAACTTTGAGGGAGGGAGCACAGCTGCTACTCCTCCAATTTCCCAAGTGGGAATAACCCTCCCACCTCTTCCACCAGACCCAGGATGCTGCTGGGGGAGCCCCTCAGCTGAAGAGCCCCTGGGGAGATGTTGGACACTAACCTGTCGTTCAGCTGTGACAATCAGTGACTCCATCAGTGACTCCACCAGTGACTCCATGGCCACAGATGATTCATCACTTTCCTTTTCTTCTTCCTCTGGGTTTTCTTCTTCCTCTTCCAGTATCTCCTCCTCTTCTGCAAGAAAAACTTATCCATGAATAGAAGATGAGGCACATTGCCAATCCCATTTAAGCTGAGAACTTCCCAAAGCAGTCTCTGAACCCCAGGAATTAGAAATCTTTGGTTCTTTAAAAATGGATTTTTGCCTTACATTTACAGCTAATGATTGGCAAGAAGGTGATCCTCCAAAGTATAATGTTACTCCTCATTATTTTGCATACAGAAATTTAAGTTTTTGGTGTAATTATTCAAACAGTTGGGATGTGCTTTCCGAGGCTGACCAATATCCATGACAATTGCCAAAAGGATATTGGTTCATTTGTGGAGATAGGGCTTGGCAGGGCATTCCATTGTGCCTTGAAGGTGGCCCATGTAACGTTGGAATGCTCACTGTGATAGCACCTACTGCTAAAGCAGTCATTAAGAAGAAACATAGGGGAACGAGATCTGCTCATCACTATGATGAGAATTGTAAGAATGATTTCATGCCTTGGAATGCTGCCAAAAGGGTTTCAGCAGGTTTGTTTTTACCCCAGCTGGCTTCAGCAATGGCATTGAAACAATTAGATTGTGTTGGATGTTGGCTGAGTAAACAAACTAATGCCACATCCACTGCAATCAATGATATGTTGACAGATGTTAATAGTGTTAGACATGCTACCCTTCAAAATAGAGCAGCAATTGATTTTCTATTGCTGGCACATAAAAATGGTTGTGAGGAATTTGAAGGATTGTGTGCACTCTCAGGAGGGCCAGTAGCCCCTGTCACAGCACATCAGCAATTCCAGGCTCATGTCCAAGGGCCTGACCCCTTATTAATGATCCCAGCAAAAACACCTTCTGCCTCTGCAGTTACACCGTCCTGACTCATGGTTTCCTGCACACATACATCTCTGGAAATGCAGGAGCAGAGACTTGGATGAGATCTGGGGAGGAGAGTGATGGCAGGAAGGGCCATCCTCCTCTTTGTGCTTTCAGAAATGCTGTCCAAGTCCCAGGCTGGGCTCACAGCAGTGGGGCTGAAGGGAAACACAGCTCTGGGTGACAGACTCAGCTGCAGCTTTCCTGGGCTCCCCCCTGCACACCAGGCTGGGCCCTCAGCTCCCCATTCCTGTTTCTGTGCAGGGAGAAACAGCTGAGCAGGACAAAGCTGCTCCTGGGTCTCCTGAGTTACTCCAGCACACAACACAGCTGCAGCCAAAGGGAGCCTGGCCAAGCTGCCAGGGGCAGGATGCTGCTCCAGCAGCTGAGAGCAGGCCCACGCAGAGCTGTGTCTGCAGGTGCTCACAGGAGGAGGGAGTAAGAAATAGATTCATAAAGAGTTCTCAAAATCTCACAGAGATGATGGATGAAGGTATAGACATGGAAGAAGGTTTTGAATTAAGACCTTAGAATTGACAAGATTTTTCGAATAATAACTTATAACTGTTTATCAGACATGCCCTTTGAACTGACTGGACTTCCACAGCATTAAAATTGCTTTGTTGTAATATAGCAATGCTCGGTGCAAGCACAAAGACGCTTTAAGTAAGTAATAAGCAAATATGTTATAGTAGAGCTACGAAACGCAAAGTGGTTAATAAACAACATAGTTACGGAAGTTTCTCTTTAGGTGAACCGAGAGGGGGAATTGTGGGAATCCATAAAATCAGAGGGTTTTAGGAAAGCTGTGAAAGGCAGGCCTCAGAGACAGCAGAACAGTGATTAGAGCTAAGCAGTAAAATAAGTTAGCAGAAAAATTATGTAAAAAGTAGAAAAGTAAGGACAAATGGAACAATACTCTGTGTATTAACACTTGTCTAGAATAACTCCCTAATCTGCAGAAGAGTATATCTATCAAGAGATTAGGAAGTTCTAACCAAAGACCTGCCCTTTTGTTCCCTGTTCCTCCTCCCACTGAATGTCAATCCCTTCCCATGCCTGTCCCTTTCTCTAGAAACTTCCCTATGAATTTTGTATCCTTCGAGGCCCCATTGGTTTGTTTCAGTGATTCTCCTCCTCTGTAATCTTCTATTGGTTTAGACATTGTATTTCCCACTTGTGTTCCACCCCCAGTTTCTCCTAGTTGGCTGAAGAGTGTATCCTCCCCTGGGACCTGCACCGTTTATAAACTGATGTATGCCTTTGTTGAGTGTCTTTCTGTCCCTGACCCTCTGGGGAATAAACACCTTTGGAAAACATACAGAAGACCTCTCCCTGTTCCTTATCCCTGCCCTGGACACAGTCCACCCGTGCCTAGAGCAGCTGTGCCCTACAGCCACACCCCGGATTCCACAGCTATCTGGGGCTGTCAGGAGCCAGTCGGGCCCAAGAAATCTGGCAGGGCAGCACCCCTTCCCATTCCAAAGGGGGCCGAAGGCAGGAATACTGTTGAAGCTCCAGGACATCCAGGCAGGACTGAGAAGCTAGCATGGGGGGATGCTGCAGCCTCTTCTCCATGCTCTTTCAGCCCTGCTCCTCTCTGGTCCCCTCACTGCCCCACAAAGCTCCTGCAGAGAAGCAAAGCTGGAGGAGGGAGGGACCAGCGCAGAGGCTGTGCAATTTCTGGTAAAGGAGCTTCAAGCCCAAGCAAGGAATATGTAAACACTGCTTAGTGCTGGCAGCAGGGAGGCAGGGACAAGGAAGAAAGTGATCTTCAGAAGAGCCAGCAGCACCCAACTCCAGTACCAGCACAGCCAGAGAGCTGAGCACTTCTGCCTCTGGCAAGTGGCACCTGCCAGCCAAGGCCATGGGGGAGTCTATTAGGTGAGTACTTGCTTGACCTCTCTGCCCCCAGCAGCAATTGCTTACAGCCCCATCTCTCAGGGCTGGCTTTGGGGTTTCCCCCCCACTTTTTTCCCTCTCTTTTCCCCCTTGTTTCTTTTAATCCTCTCCTGGGCCGCCTGACACAGGGCCAGAGCCAATGGCTTGTGCTACTCACCTTGCGGGGCACGACCACGGGCACCCCGGGCAGAGGCTTTCTGCTGGAGTCTTGCACCACGTAGGTGAATTTCATAACCCCGTTGTTCCGCAGGGTGATCCCTGCTTTGAGGACTTTGTTAAACACCTGCAGAGAGGAGGATAGAGGAGTGAGAAGTCACAGATACAGGCCTGATGATGGGCAATCTCCTTCCTCTTTAATGGCGTTGAAAGCACACAGCCACAATGCAACCACACAACTACAGAGAGGTGGTCAAGGCCAGTAATAAATGAACCAGGGGACCAGGTCCTCTGCACTCTGAGGGGTCACCAACAGCCAGGAGAAACAGAGGAGGTGGCACTGAGATGTGTAAGACGAAGTCAAAACCTTATGAAGTTCAAGAATGAAAGTTGTTGGTTCTACATGTTGTTGTGTGTGGGTTGGATTTGTTCAGGTTGGTTTGTTGGTGTTGCTGTGTGCTGGCAGAGGGACAGGGTTGAAGACCTGTCCAAAAGGAAGGAGGATGAGAGGGGAGGGGACAGAAAAGTTGGGAGTCAGAGAGAATGGAAGCTCCTGAGTACCTCTCCAAGGGGAAAGGGGACAGGGACTGTCCCAGCCAGGTACAGAGGGGACAGAAACATTGCCTTTTTGTTGGAGGCTGTGTTTGCTCATCTCTGGGGGCAGGGAGACACACACCTGGCTCAGCTGGAGCATTACTAATGAACAGTTTTGTTCTGCTTTGACAACTTTGTCCCCATTTAACTGTATCTAAAAGTTAGTGCATTTCTGAGAGGTGTTCCAGAAGAAAAGGCACCTGCACGCAAATATTGGCAAGAAACATACAGCTGACAAGAGAGACACACAGGACAACACAGGCAGTGCCAGCAACTGGAAGTATCTGTGGACTTTAAACTGAAAAGAAGGAAAGTGGGGATTATTCTGGGACATTGTTTTCAGCTACTGAAGTGACTGAAAGCCCAACTTCCTCCCTGGATTCTTTTGTGGATCAAGCAAGAGCGTTTGACAAAAGCATCTCCTAGGAGCTCAAGCTTTAGGAGCGGATCAGTGGAGGGATATCTCAGGGACATGTCCCTCCAGACATCTTCACTGGGACCCTTGTGTTCCCCAGGAGGCAGGGTTAGGTGCATGAAGAGGACAGTGCCATGTCCCTGGGCCGGGGGGAAGGGAGGCCAGGGGTGGAGATGGCCACTTTAAACCAGCCTGGATGCTGGACATCTCTCTCACAGGTTGTATTCTAAGCCCCAGAGCCAGCAAAGCAGCTGGGAAGGGAGGGAGAGAGCCTGGGATCGAGGTGGCCATGATGCCAAGCCAAGGAGCTGTGCCAGGGGAAGCCTGTGGTACCTGCAGCCCCCAGTCAATCTCCTCCACGTCCAGCCGGTAGCTGGGGCACGAGGCCTGCCCGCTCAGCACCACCTCGTAGGTGGGGCCTCCCTCCACGCGGCACAGCGCCGTCGCACGGGCCATGATGTTGGCGTGGCCAAAGAAGGTGAAGGTGACCTTCTGGCTCTCTCCTGGCTGCAGCATTCCCCACAGCGGCAGGATATCAAAAACCTGGAGGGAGGGGAGGAGAGATCAGCATGTTGAGAGTGGAAATGGATGCAGAAGAGCAGCTGTGTCTTGAAATAGAGTAGAGTCATAGCTGCAGGGGCCTATTCCCCAAACACAGCCAGAATCATCCTCATCTCATCCTGTGTCCATGCCACTGACTAGTGGGAAAATCTTCTCCCATAATCACTTCTCCATGAGTATACTCTACATTAAAGTCAACTGGAATGTTTCCTGGCAGCAAGAAACTCTCTCTGCTGCAGAAGTTGTCTTTGGAAACACTTCTCACTATCTCCAGAAAAACAGGAGACGTGTGTTGTAGTTCGGTTTTTTTTGGGGGGGGCACCCCGGGGAGTCCCCAGAGGGCCCCGTAGGCTGTGAGTTGGCTGGCAGCAGCAGGCAGGCAAGGAGACTCCACACAGCTTCTGAGGGAGTTTATTGGGGGTCCCATCCCTGGGAACAGCATGGTTACTGAGGGAGAAGGGGGGAAGGGGGAGGGGAAAGGAGGGGGAGCCTAGGCGAGGGAAGGGACAAGAGGGGAGGAAGGCTAAGAGAGGGGAAAAGGCGAAGAGAGCAGCTGGTCTCGCTGGCACGGTTTAAGAGGGAGTTTGAAAGTGGGCACGGAATCAGACTCATGCCAATGGGATTACAGATACAGGATGGCTCAGGGCAGGACCACAGGCTTGGGATATACCATACATTTTGGAGGGAGCATACCATTTAAATAAAATGCAATACTACACCTCACCCTTTTTTACGTTAGAAAGATAAAGAGAAATATGATAATTAACAGTTTAAAAAATGAAACAGTAGTTATACAGTTTTGTAACATTAAAATAAATACAATAGCAGTGAGAATTAAGTTTTAAACAGCCCTTTGGCTGCTTTTGGTGGTAGGCAGCAAAGATAGAATGAGCATTTAATTGTAATAAACAGGTTATGTGGGTCCATATTGCAGATCTTCAGCGAATTTAAAGCATGAGCAAGTGCTTCCTTTGGCACTAAGCTCATATGAGAATTTTGGGATTGGCCTTTTCAACATGACTGGCCCAATGGTGTCTAACCTTTCCCAACTGGCTTTTCGGACCACCGCAGCCCCCAGTTTAGGCTGAGGTGCCCGCTTTGCTCCCCCTCTCAGGGCTTTCACCTTCCAACCGGTTTAACCCAGAAGACCCCCGGTTTTAGGTCATTAAAAGAAAAACAAAAAGAAAAAAAAGAAATTTGGCTTCAGCTATAACCTATACTCAGGGAGCATTCACCCCAAAAAACATCAAAATACTTTCCTAGACACCATTTTAGGTTATCAGTCAGCCTCAGAACCTACTGAGGACAACATAAACCCAACAGCGATTTTGATTCAGCAGTCTAATACTATCTGAACCCTCGCTATTAAAGAAACAATCAAAAACTGCTTCTCTTTGGCCCCTTGCGACCTGACAGGGCCCTGCTTTGTAAAACTGAAAACAGGACAATCTGCAATACGAACACACACAAACTAGAAAAGCTTAATTGTAACAACTACTTCATGGGGACAGGAAGGAAATGGAGACGACAGGTATTGGATAAGAATGATAAAAGGGTTAGAGGGTTTTACGATAAAAGTTCTAGCTGGCGTGCTCTTGTCAGCTAGAACAAGTGGATAGGGATTGGGAACTGGGGAGGTTACAGGAACCCAGGGACTCTGCGAAAGAAAAACCTTTTCGGGGTACCCTGCACCTTCAAGCAGTTTGCTTCCAGTGATCTACCCAAAGTAAGGAAAAAAGGGGTATGGATCGCAGAGAAGGATATTATCCTGCTCTTGGAGTAACAGGGGAAGGAGATCATAAAGTAGAATTTTCAATTCAGTGAAATGTTGAGGCTTAGCCATGTGGCTGCAGTGCCGGATTTGGAAGGACAGAGTGGATTCCCGAGGGTTTGTTAAGGGGAGGGCAGGTTAGGGATGGAATTAGGGAGAAGGAGCAGTGAGGGGAGAGAAAGACCAAGGAAGGAGGTCACAGAACTGAGGAAAACAGTTTTGGGAAGGTGTGGAGCTCGGACAAAGCTGATAACTGCATTTTGATGGTCTGGTGGCTCCCCCGCAGAAACTGCTGGGCTTGGGTTCTTTCTTTTGCCGCTGCTGTGGTCCAGGGCATCGGCTGCTGGGGCTCGGCCATCCACACGGCCCCGCTCTGTGGCCCCCCGGCCCCTCTGGGCAGGGAGTAGGGGCTTGACATGGAGGTGGGAGCCCTTGGAGATGGGGGAAGGCTCATCTGACTTCTGAGGCCTTTCTCCCTTTTGAAAACATTCAGCCACACTGTTCATTGCATCTATAGGGCTTTGTTTCTCCTGATTCCGAAAAATTGTGCAGTGTAGAAACAACTGCTATTTGTGTGTCAGCAGGTATAACCCTTCTCCTTAAACTTAATGCCCATACTGGGTTTCTGAGACACTCTTCTGCTTCCTTACATCTCTTTTTTTATTGCCGCATGAGCAGCCTCTGTTCCCCCTGATGCAGAACAAGGGGCCACTTCCCACTCCAAAGTACTGATGTTCACCAGGCAAGTTGGCAGATCAAAGGCATTTTTCCTTGTTTGGAGGAAGAGACAGTGACTTTGCAAAGTCTTGCTTTATAGAAGACAGCCCTGGAGCTGTCACTGCAATGCCAGCTTCAGGTGAAGGCAGAGATGTGAGCACTCTGGCTGGGTGGGCAAGGGGGTCCGTGGAGATCAGGACTCTTCATGGACTGACACACATCGGAAGCTGGAAGCCTTCTCATCATGATGCAGATAAAGACCTCATGTTATATTGTAAAGAAAATAAGCCAAAAAATCCCAAACTCAGCACAGGTCTGTAGGGTCTGAATGAGCTTCTGTGAGCAAAACTTTCCTATTTCTACCTCCCCAGACTCCCCATGTCCAGCTGGCACTTTCAGGGCACAGGACAGAAGGGCAGCAAAAAGGGAGGTTGGCATGAGTATGACTTTTTGGTGGCCACTTGAGGAGGCAAAGCAAGTAGAAGATGCACAAGAAAATCCACCTTTGTTTCCAGGGAATCCTCTGCATCTGCTGGCTCCTGGTCAGAGTCCTCCTGAGCAGAATCCTCCTGGGCAGGATCTTCCGGGGCAGAACCCTGCATTGTTTCTGGGGTTTCAGTTGGCTCATCCACACTTTCAGTCTTGGAGTATCTCCGTGGAAACACTCCCTTCTTCTTTGATGACTGGGGTTTGAATTTAGGTGGTGGAGAGATGAACCTGGAAAAGAACATAACTATGGTGGTGGACCTGCAGTGGGAGAGAGAGGCGCCTGCAAAGTCCTGTTGAGCAGAATCCTCCTGGGCAGGATCTTCATGGGCAGGATCTTTGTGGGCAGGATCCTCCTCATAAGAATCTTCCTGGGCAGAATCCTCCTGGGCAGAATCCTGCATTGTTTCTGGGGTTTCAGTTGGCTCATCCACACTTTCAGTCTTGGAGTATCTCCGTGGAAACACTCCCTTCTTCTTTGATGACTGGGGTTTGAATTTAGGTGGTGGAGAGATGAACCTGGAAAAGAACATAACTATGGTGGTGGACCTGCAGTGGGAGAGAGAGGCGCCTGGTGTGGTGAGCCCAGGAACAGCCACTCCAAAACCAGGCTGGACAAGAGCAGCTCCTCACGGCCATGCAGCCCCTGGCTGGGTGCTGGTGTGGTGAGCTCAGGAACAGCCACTCCAAAACCAGGCTGGAGCAGGTCCATGCTCCCAGCAGCACAGGGATGATGCTCTTACCTTATGGTGTTCACCGGGCTGTCCACCAGGAATGACCAGCGGTATTCCACGGGCAGTGGGCTGCAGTTGGTCATCTCCATATGCAGCACTTGTTCAGTGTCATTTATGATGCAGCCAAAGTCCACGGCCTTGGCCTGGAGATGGAGATTGGGGAAGTGGACTTCTCCCCGAACGGTGATCTTCTCCTCACGAGGATGCTCCATGAAGCGCACCCTGAGAACCCTCTTGGCCACCCAGCTGTGCAGATTGTTCTCATAAGCTGGGTTAAACTGGATGCGGAGATGAAGTTCCTCCCCTACATCCAGTGTTATGGGCTGCAAGGACATGAACAGGAATTAATCACCTGTGGATGACGTCCCAAGGTCTTGACAGCAGGAAACAGTAAACGTTCAGTGTGACCCAGCATGGGCTTCATTGCTGTACAGCTGGGGTCTGACTGCAGGCACCACAGTCCAGCCCAGGATTCCCTCAGGCTCCTGTTCCTGTGCTCAGCAGCAATACAAGGGGGTGGCTGCTGGAGAGCTGGCATGCTTTCCAGGAGACACCTTTACTGCATGGCTTGCCTTGATCTGCTTTCCTGCTCCCCTCCCCTCATGTTTTACAGCCAGCATGAATGTTACCGATTCAGATAAGATTTTGATTCCTTCAGCAGCTCTGCTGATTCAGCTCAGGCCAATCCACTGCTGACACCACAGAATAAACTTCTCAACTCCAGGACCTCCCAACAGAAGTGCACCACCACATCCCTCCTCCTCAAACCCCACTGAACAAGCCCACAGAGGCTCACCTTGGAATCTGCAGGGAGAGGCTGCCAGTCCACATTGCAGATCAGGAATGGCTGCTCCAAGTCCAGCACAATGCTGACTGGCAGGGGGCTGGTGTTTTTTAAAGAAAAAGGCTTGTAGTGCTGCATCAGGACATCACTGGGCTCCTACAGAAACAGGAGACAAGGAAAAACAACCTCAAGTGCCATAGACCTCCTTCCCCTTCCAATGCATTTCACATTTTCCAACCCCAGAAATGCATCTATTTCTATTTACTTCCAGCCAATTTAAGAGTTACATCTTTAAATGCCAGGATGCAATCTGGAGACTTACCTTTACCACACAGAAAGTGATTGCTCTGGAAGACATTTGCAGAACAGGGCAAATGAAGTTGCAGGTGACATCCACTTGCATTATCTGTTTCTTTGTTATCTCTTTCCCCACCAAAGCGTGACACAGCAGCCGCTCCTTCACCTCCTGCATACAAGATTCACTTGTCTCCCAGTGTGTGCTGGCAGACCCAGCACCCCACACTGGCTTGCCACCCACCCATGGGCCCTATTCCTGTCACTTGTTATTAGGGACTCTAATTAGTCTCTGCTCTCCTCAATAGCTCTTTTTTCTTTCTGAGCTCCCACCTATTTGTTCTAAATATCTGTGCCCAGGGTCCCGCAGCCAGGGAATGCACACCAGACTTAGCTGGCAGCTTCTCTGCAGAGTTCCATTTCCCCTGGAAAGGAAAGTCCAGGTAGGAGAATGCTCCAGACTCTGCTAAAATCTCCCCCTCTGAGTTGCTCTCCAGGGGTGCTGCAAAACCTGGCTGTCCCTGGGCTGGCTGAGAGACTGGGGCAAGCAGTAATAGATAAGTTGACCAAAGTCAATTTGCCAATTCTCATGATCCCTGGGAACAGTTCCTGCCTGGATGGACATCACAGTGATCATTAGAGCTGGCACGCTGTGTTTTCCCCCTCCATGACTCAGAGCTAGACCAGCCCTGTGCCCATGTTTGTCTTCAGAGGAAAAGCAATGCTGCTCCCAGACACTCCTGCCATTCACAGGGCTTTTGTTTTACTCCCTGCTTCCCTCAGAAAAACCACTTGACAGTAGTTTCATTTGCTTCCTGCCTGGGCTTCTAGTCTAAGTGCAACTTCTTTGCTCTGCTCTTCCTTTCTGCCTCAGCACATGACACAGGTAAGCCCTGTTTGCCCGAAGGAGCAGTACCTCCTTCAGCCTGTATGCTGGGATCAGCAAGTTGGGTTTATGGTAGCTAGGGAAACACAAAAGAGCCTTAGCAACTGACGGTGGCCAGCAAGGAAAGCAACTGAAAAGAATGGCCTTAAAACAGTTTTTTGAAGGCACTTGCTCCTTTTGCCAGGCAAATGTCAAGGGGCTGCAGAAGAAGCCGCAGTGGAGGGGATCGGATGGGGAAGGCTCAGCCCTTGGCAGGGGCCTCACCTGGGCAGTGCTGGAGCAGCCTTCCAGCACCATGTCCGCACTCTGGCCCGGCCTCAGGTCCACCTGCGGCGGCCACAGCCTGAACACGGGGCTGCCAGGTCTGGGCATCGGGGAAGCACCTTTGCTTTTGGTGCCACCGAGGGCAGGGGCACGATCACGGCGCCAGCGCATGCGGAAACCTTCTGTGTTCCAGTACAGCCGATGCATGCGTCGTCCTCTGTTTGTCACTTTGAAATGGAAATAGCAGGGAGTAAAGCTGGAAGAGAAGCAGAGGTGGAAAATGTCACAGGAGCTGTTATTTCCCTGGCATCACTCAGCTTCAGCTTCACCCTGATGCCATTCCCTGACTGCACACTCTGCAATAAAACCTCTACCCAAAAGGCTGCCCAGGCTCAAAGCTTCAGCCCTGCCAGGTCTTCCAGCTTTTCCATTTCTGTGGCTTTCCAGGATATCTAGCAACTCTCGGATGACATATTTCTAGAGGAATTCCTGTGGCTTCAGAGCTGGGACCTTGAGTACTAAAGATCTAGCCTGAAGGACTATGGAAAAATTGTTCCTTGCTGAACGCACAGGAAGTGCGTTCCAGAGCCTCCTACCTGAAGTGGGACTTCAAGTCGAGCTTCGGAATGAGAGGTTTGTCCGTGACAATTGTGGTGCCAATGCCCACAGCCTGGAGAGAGATGATGGTCGTATAGCTGTTCTCAATGAACACCTTCACCTTCTCCCGGAATTTCACTGTGTCATTCAGGTTTGCTATGACAGCCACGGACATCTCAGATTTAGGGGAGATCACTCCTTTACTGGGCTCAATCCTCCAGCAGGAGCATTTCCCAGCCTGGAAGACAAGCCAAACACAAACTTAGATGGAAGCCATGGACCCCACTCTGCTGTGAGGTGCAGGAAACAGGAAGGCTAAAGAGGTGAGTATAAAAAGCATACATGTTTAATTTCCCTAAATGTAAGATATGGTGTCCAGCACAGCAACTCCCCAAGAGCTTATACAACCTGTATTTTACCTTCCTTTAACACACTCAGGTCATTAGCCCCATTTTGCTCAACCCAAGGGATGCTCCTCCTCAGGAGAAGGCAATTCCCCCTGCCGGCTCTCTTTGGAGTGCTTGCCAAGGGAAGCTATTCACTCTCTGCTGGCTTCCCGACAGCAGAGCTGGGTCTGCACAAAGGCTCAAGGCCAGAGGAAGTCATGACTGCTCATCATGGACTTCACAGACTGGGCAAGAGAGCTGGAAGCTGTCCCAAGGAGGGAGGAAAGGCCTTGCACAGCACAGCTGTACAGACACAGCTCTGCAGGTCCAGCCCTGGCAGGAGCATGTGAAACCCAACCTTTACACACCATGACCACCCAGCCAAGGTGCATTGCTCCCTGCAGAGGTGGAAAGCAGAACTCCATTGTGGAGTCAGGAAAAGCTGCCCTGGCAATCCTCCACTTTGGTGTAATGTTTACCCCCTAAACAGCTGGAGAAGCAGCAAGAGGAAAATTCACACCCCTCCTCTTCAGCACAAGAGCCTGAGCCTGGACTCTCACACAACACCTGATGATTTATCCACAGACACAAACAAGTCGACAGTGTCAGGGTTGGCTTTAACCAGCTCCAGAAGTTGAACCCACCAAAAATACAGAAGATCAAATCTCTTTTCAAAGCTTTTTTCAAGCCTTTCACAGATGCCTCCTCCAGCAGGGAGCACATCCCACTCAGCCCCAAGCCACGTACCCTGGAGCTGCAGCTCCAGCCCTGTGGCTTGCCCCCTCTGTAACCTCCATGAATGAAACAACCTTCCTCTGCAGGTGGTCTCCAGAGACATTTCTGCAATGCTACAGAGACCACAGGCTCTGGGGCTGCACAACCCTCACAGGTGCATTTGTTTGCAACAGCACTACTGAGTCGTGAAACTTGCCTTCCCATGAGCAGTTGGAGGGCAGAGCTCACACCCTGGTTTCTGCCATTAACACAAGTTTGGCACACAGCAAATGCAGATGGAATGGGGAGTCCATGGGGAAATCCATGCCCTCGTGGGAGCAAAGGCCCACAGGCTCCTCTTGATCTCAGAGCTCCAAAAACAGGACTTGCACAGCTAAGTATCTTCCACAAAATAAAGAGAGAACTTGCAAACATGACCCAGACTCATTTCTGCTCCAACCTCTCTGCAAACTATTTCACAGAGGCGTGCCTGACATCCTGGCTCCTCTTGCTTGCACCTGGATGGAATATCTTGCTTCCACTCACACAGAACAATACAGAAACATTGCACACAAAAAACAGGTCAAGGGCTGCTAGTAACCAGCACTTTTCCCTGGAAAACAGCCCCACAGACACTTACCATCTCCACCCAGAAGACTGCAGGAAGGTCACACTGATTGGCGAGGTGCAAAGTTTGGAAACAATCTTCTAAGACTGGGATAGAGCCGAAGTTTATCTCCCTCGGATGGACATAGACAACAGGTCCCCGGCCAATGCACTCTAATTGGATTTTCTGTTCCAGGAAGAAGGAAAGATCAAAAAAAAGACACAGCAAATGCAGTTTAAAGAACATAGCCAGTTCTAAGAGCATATAAAAACACACAAACCCTTCATCTACAGTATTCTTAAAAGGGACAAGAACAGCCCAGCTCAGCAGATGCAACAAATGCAGTTCAAAGAACATAGCCAGCTCTAAGAGCATTCCTAGACTGGGGATAATGATGGCTGTTTGAAGTTGTCAGTGATGCAGACTGAAACAGAAGGCCTGGAGCAAGTGTGGAGTCTGCAGTGACCCCACCTGAAAGCCACAAGCTCCCATTATCAGAGGACAAAGAACTGCTGTTTGCCAGCTGCCTTCCTCACACCTCTTCCACATGGCTATTTCCTTTACCTCCTGCCTGCTTCATTCACTGCTCCATCTTGGCCCAAGCCACCTCCCCAACTTTTGCTGCTTTGCTGCTGCACAGCCATCCTTGAACACTCAGTTCTTGAAAATTCAGAAAGCTACACTGGTGAAACCAGCTCGAGTCAGAAGCAAAGCAGGCTCTTCAGAGTCGAGATGAGGCAAGTTAGCTGCCTTCAATTTGTGCTTATGTCTAATCTTCGTATCTATGAGTAAGGGGCATTAATTAGTAATTACATTATTCAAGCAGTATTTTTTCCTTAAAAAAAGTCTGAACTGACTTAATAGTAGTCTGAAACTCAAAAGGATTGTTCTTGCAGAGCTGGCACAGACAGTGGGACAAGAAACATGGATCCCTTTACTAAACTACCTGCCCACACCAGTGGAAACCGGGACAATTGATTCAGTCTTGTTGGATTTCACTGGTCCTGAATACCCCAATTCTTACACAGGACTTGAATGCATAAAACTCACAACACCAATGAGATTCACTGGAGGGCTTGGAGTATGATTTAACTACAGAAGAAACCAGCCTCCATGATGTAAAACCTCCAGTGATGTCTGACTTGAGGGAAAGGCATTGGCAGCTGCCAGAATTACCTTCAGTCAGAAGGAGCAGCATCCAGAAATGCAAATCCCTTTGGGACATACATGACTGTGCAAACAAGAGCCAGAAACTATGTACCATGGCTGCTACCTCAAGAGTAAGGAACTGAATCCCTGCATGCTGATGGATCTTTTATTCCTCTGGGAGAAGGGAGGACCAGGGGCTGCAGCCTGGCTGATGCTGCCCAAGGCTCCCTGGAAGAAGAAGCTGGAGGGAGCAGCTGTGCCTCAGCAGCTGGCTGTGCTTCTAGGTGACAGTGGGGCAGAAGCAGCAGAGGCAGGGCAGAGCCCTTTGGAGATGGGCAGAAGAGCATCTGGAGGATGCCTGAGCCAGCTTTAGTTATTGTGTGACAATGGGATAGATCCTCACTGAGGAAAAGGCTTACAAAAACACACAAACCCTTCATCTACAGTATTCTTAAAAGGGACAAGTGTGAGACATTTGTCAAATCTAATACATTGGAATAGTAGAGTAGTCCTACAGTAGTCCAGAGCTGTCTTGGCAGTTTTGCCCCTTCTTTGCCTAAGGACACCTGCAAGGACTCCTGTAGCAGTCCCAGTGCTCCATGAGCTCCGGGGGAGCCTTTCCAATGAGGACCAGTGCCCACCCACGCTCAAGGAACACAAGACTCGGTGTATCAGTGAAAATTACTCTCTTTTCTGCTACAGCACTGTTGTCCTGCCTGAAAACTGAATCATCTCTTCCAGCAGTGGAGGGCACAAGGCCCGCAGGGCAGGTGATCAACTTCTTCCAGTTCCTACAGCTCCCTCAATTCTTCACACTGACTGTCCCCATTTGCACTTGCTTGACAAAACGGCAGCCCAGGCACTGCCTGGATGGCTCTGCCTGGGAGAGGGAACAGCACCAGGGAACTGCATCCCTCTTGGCATCAAACTGACACCCACAGCAGCACAGCAGGATGGAATTCTGCTGCAGCAAGAATGACTTTTGGTCTCAACTCTGAGAACATTACTCAAAAGAGCCAGAGGGAAGCAGCAAAACCTGAGCTGACCTGCCACATCAAGGACTACAGTCCTCGTTGTAAGATCTTTTGCTCTCCCCACTCCTGCCTGGAGCCTCTTCCCCACTGCACTGCTGAAGTGAACCAGGCCCCAGCTCTCAGCAGGCTGCTCACTGTGTTCCAAACCAATGCTGCAGGGGGGTCACAAGCCACCACAAGTTCACCACTTGCAGGAAGAAGGACAGGCAACCCTCTGGAAATTTGTTCCAGCTCAAGCACCAAACCCCAGGCCAACAATTGATGTTATTCCTGCTCCCTTTAGAAAAAGGCCTAGGGCCATGCCTGGCTGCGAGCAGGGAGCGTCTCACTATGGGCTGCTGTCCTAGCACTGTTCTCATGTCTAGATGGGCACATCCAGCTCATTAAGCAACACTTCTCCTTTGGAGCTGCAGCCAGGCAGTGTGCTGGATGCACGAGGAAAGACAAGCAGGTGCAGGAAAGGTGTTGGTACCTGGCTGTGAGGGGCAGTGCCAACACCTTCTCGCCGACATCATCCACGTCCAGCACCAGCTGCAGCTTGTACTCTCCAACAGTGTTGGAACACAGGGTGACCTGGTAGCAGAGAAAAGAAGTGCAGCAAGGATTTGGTCACTCCCAAAATCTCATCACCCATGTGTGCTGGCCTCCAATTCTTGTTCCATGGTAGACAAAGGGAGGGTTTTGCTTTCATTCTTCTGCTGGTCCATAAGTAGAGCAACGGTCTTTGAGAGTAAAAAAAGCCCTCTGGCAATATCAGATTTGCTAAGAGGACTAATTTTTCACCTGACTACAATAATATAAATGCAGGAGAAGTCTGTTTCCTTGAATGGAATGAGTCCAGCTTTACAGCAGGAAGCTGAGGGCAAAGTGTGGCCCAGCCCATGTCGGGCAGTTCATGGCTGCAGAGTATTTTCTGTCCCCACTGAAGATCCCTGCACTGAATACAACTCATCTGCTGCCCAGGAGATGAGAAACAAGACCAGGAAGAAAAGAAAACTGCTTTCTACAATGATAGCTCTCTCTTTAAGACCAACCTTTAGTTTTCCCTTCCTCTGCCCACTTCCAATCAAATAAATCCTCTCAAAAACACAAGAAACACAGGACTTGACCATATGGTACGTGATCTCAGCTTGTGATTTTGGAAACAAAACAGTGCTCCTTGAGGAACATCCCGAGTAAGCCAGCTAGCACAGGCCTCACAGCAGTGCAGATCTCTCACTCCCACAATGATCAAAGCTGGCACCAGAGCTAAAGCCCTCCCACACTCCAGTGAAGCTTCAGCCCCATGGGCTGGACTCTTCCCATACCTTGATATCCTGGGATCCCAGGGCACGGACGGTCCCTCTGCAGGGCCTTATGTCAAATTCCCTTGGCCTCCTAAGACCTTGAGCTTCCTTCCTCCAAGACTGGCTACTGCATTTGCACATCTGAGTAGAGCTGTCAATACTGGGCTCTCCCAAGCCATCCCCAGGAATGTAGAGGTGGAAGACCATGGGTGTCAGGGAGGTGTTAAACAGGCAACAGTTCAAGGTGCGAGGAAAACCTAAGAAAATGACACAAATATCCATTTAGGCATCAATATCTCATGATTCCTGGTGTGAATATCCTGGTAGGATAAAATCCTGTGCTTGGATTTTACTTCTTTGTTATCTGAACTACAGCTCATTGCCGTGGATCTATGGCTTGGCTGGCCAGCTATGTGCAGAGGAGACATCTCCCAGCCTGCTTACCAAGAGTCATGTAAACCCAGATGGGGAGAAAAACCCAACTGCAGGCACAGCCCGGGGCTTCTCCATGCCCATCAACAGTGACTCCAGCAGGGAGCCAAGAGAAGCACAAAAAGGATGTCACAATCTCAAATGCCACTGGGGTAACTGCATGCAGACATCATTCAGCAGCACAGTTAAAAGAAACAAAGATGATAAAATAGCTGCCCCCAGCTAAAGAAACCCTAGGAATGAAATCAGATTAAGCAGGATGAATCTGCTATTACAGAACCATATTCCTGTCAGGTGCCTTTCTTTATTGTGCCACTTACTAAAAGGGAAACAAGAAGTGGCCAAACAGTGATGCTGACTTTTTATTCCTTTGCTCCTGTTTGATCTCATGGTGGCAAAAGGGTACCTGAGGCACCAGCAGCCCTGGAATTAACACCCTGAAGAGGCTGTGGTGGAGGAACACGGGTGATGAATGCTCTTAGGTTCAAGTGCTCCATTTCAGCAGCACTCCAACCTCTGAGGCTGTGGTGCAAGCCCAGGGCACACTCACCAAAGGAGACGTCACCGAAGTCGAGGGCGGACACATCGAAATGGAAAGTCGGGCCCATCACGTAGCCCCTGCGAGGACAAAGGCAGGGAGGCAGTGCCTTTGTTAAAGGGAATCACAAAGGGTTCAGGGGTCCTTAGGGAGAGGGTGGATAAAAGCTGCTGCCAGAGCCACCCTGGGTTTCAAATCAACCCAGCACCCTGTGCTCAGCACAGAACCCATGTGGACAGGAGGCAGCCAAAGCAAAATGGTCAGCAGCTGACAGATTAGCTGGGACAGGCCTTGGAGCTGAAGTCTTTTACTTCTCCTATCATCGCTTTTCTTCTTTTTTTCCCACCTCTACCCTTTGCTGAGTGAGGATTAGATCCTTTGCCATGGCACCAGCCCATGGGATGAGGCCCAAGTCCTTGGGACCACCTCTTTTCTCTGCTCCACCACAAAATAAGGTAGATGGGAGATGATTACCCAGAGACAGCTACAGATGTGCCCACCAAGCTCCCAAAGCCCTCCTCACCTGATAGTGAAGGTCACAGGCTCAGGGGATTCAGACACATCAAAGCAGAATTCTTCCTCAAACTGCCCCAGGATGGTGGGACAGAAGGAGACACTGATGGCCTGGAGAGTGGAGGGTGCCACGATGCCCTCCTGGGGCTGGAAGGTGAAGCAGGAGCCCATGGCTGTGCTTGGAGGGATGAGTTTGAAGGGAGCCTCAATAGGCCCATTGTTGAACAGGACCGCCTGCAGCAGCAGCAGAAAAGCAAAGTGGAAATACATGAGGAATCTTCCTTTCTTACAGAAGTCTGAGTCACTTTCAAATTAAACTATTAACAGCTGTAAGAGACAGAAGATGCCCTGTGCTGCTGCATGGCAGAAGCAAAAAAATACAACTTTGAAATACAACTTTGCATAGCTTTGGGTTTTTCATGCAAAGCACTGACAGCTTCACATAACCAGAGTCACTCTGGGGTTTTCCCACTGGCAGAGACAGTCCACTTAGACCTACAGCACAGAGGGGCTGCTCAGCATCACCAAGTTCATTCACACTGGCCCTAAGAGCAGCACTGGGCATCCCAGCATTACCAGTGACATCACCACAGTGATTTCAAATGTGCCCAACCCCACCATGGGCAGGGCACATTCAGCTTCCATTGCAGCCCAACCTGTTTGCAGCAGGAGTGGGAGAAACCAGAAGCAAAGATGTAGAAAGTTCCTTTGCTTCCTTCCCAGAAACACTTTACCCTTTCTAGAGCCAGAGGTGCATCACGGCTGAAGTGTGCTGAGGGACTGGTCAGCAAGGGAAAGCACTGCCAAGTGCTGTGACCAGTGCTGAGGGTGGGTGGCTTTCCTCTGACTCCCACGAATATGCAGGAGGGACATGACTGAAAACTGTTTGCAATGGGCTTGAACTCAAATGCAGCCAGTTTGTTCCTGCTGCCTTTGGACAGCCTGAGCACAAAGGTGACTTGTGTCTGGGACTGGAACAAAAGCCTCTGAACATGCAGCTTTTTGACCCAGTGTTGGTTTCATGTGTCACGCGGTTTTGCAGGAAGCCTCCCAGCTGATCTCCAAAGAAGACTGCCCAAAAGAAGGGACTGGGGTTTCACAAACAACAGACACACCTTTCACACCTTACACAAAAGATCGAAATTCCAGAGAAATCCCACAAAATGGACTAGTATCACACAGGTTCTCAGCCAGCATTTACCTTCGGCTCAAGGGAGAAAACATCATCATGGAACAGGATGCCATCTTCTCTGATCTTTGCCACCTCACTTTGGAAGCTGTGGGTCAGAAGAGCAAGGTGTTCTCGGCAAGTGATGTCCACTCCGCGCTCCTTCAGAAAATCATACAACTTCTCCTTTTGCTGCCGAAATATCCTGGGATACTGCCTGCAGGCATAGGAAAGACAAACCACAAACCCAGCAGTTGTTTAATAAGCCACGTCTTTGCAGAGAGAAGTGGAAGTGCAGGAGCAGCTCTGCAGCAAAGGGCTGACCCTGAGCCCAAATGGATCAGAGAGTCAGTTGTTCACTCCACATTTGCAAGCTCAGGAGAGGTTTCCAAAGCCAGCAGCCCTCAAGAGAACCTTCTGGCTCAAAGCCTCTGCCACAGCTGAGGCAGAATCCACCAGCCACCTCAGGCAGCTTTTCCTGACACACAACTGTTTGGGGAGCCAGGTAGAGATGGGATGGTTTGCTTACCCTAAGCCATTCAACAGCACCGGTATCTCCTGAAGCCATATGTTAGTTTTACCCTTGGGCAAGGTATGTCACTGAAATGGATCTTTCAAACCTACCTCAGCTCCAGCTGATGCTCCTCTTCCTCAGTATCAACAGCCTTCCACTGGAAGCGGGCTGTGATATTGCTCTGGTTGTGGATGCGCACGGTTGTGCGGTTTGACATGCCGATGTACGTCTTCTCAAGGCTCACAGTATTCCTGTCCAGCCTGATGGGGACATCCACAGCTCTTCCATGAAGGCTTGTGTGGGTCTCTTCACCTGGAACAAGCAAAGGGGAGTCTTTGCTCAGCTCACTGGCTGATGGAAGCACAAGGAGCAGAGCAAACCACAGGCAGCAGAAGAAAGTGGCACAGCTTTTAGCTGAATGAGCAGTTCCATGGATCAGTACATGTATCACAAGCTGAGAGCTGCATGTGCCCAGCATGAGGATCTCCTGGACAACCTGCCAGCATTTCACCCTCTAGAACAGACCCCTAGCAAAGGCTCCCTCATTTCCAGAGCTTTCAAACCTTCATTATTCCCAGCCAGCTCCTGGGATTCATCTGGGCTCAGACTTCAAGCTCACCATTCCTGTTGCAGATGAGTTTTTCCCAGGCGAAATGCAAACAACAAATATCACACATGCTCTCTAGAAATGGCATTTACATTGAGCTCTACAAGGATCAAGATGACAAACTACATGACTACAAACTAGATGACTAGAAAATGAACACCATGAAAACTATCATCATCTCCCTCTTTAAACCCATGGCCTTTCTGCTTAGAAAGGGCTCTGCTCTTGTGGAAAAGTCCAGCTGGTCAGGGAAGTCCAGGATGGCTCGGGGACCAATGGCCCGAATTGGCACAATGAACTCTTCCCTTTCAGTGGTGCAGAGGAGCTTGTGGAAATAATCCTGTGGGGAAAAGAAACTGTCTCAGCACAGAGCATTCATCCCCATCTTAAACATGGGCAAAAAGTATCTCCCAGTTCCAGATCCTGTGCAACTCCACTGAAACCAGAACAGGCCCTCAAAACCCAGGCCAGATGCCCTGAATCCAGCCCTGCAGGTCCACTTTCCACTGAAGACACCAATCTCTTGGGACCTCCAGACTCACTTTGTTCTGCCCAGGAGTGAAGAGGATGCGGACAATTGCGTAGAGGCCCGGTGGCACCTTGCAGCACACGTCATTGGGGCCCACCAGCTGGAAATAAGGTGAGCTCTCCAACGTGACCTTCACGAAGTGAGGAACCTGCAGGACAGACATGGAATGATGGTTTTGCCACTTGTGGAGACAGGTGGACATGCCCTGGTGCCATCCTTAACCACCCTTCTCTGCTCTCCTCTCCCAGCGCAGCGTTAAACCTCCACGTCCCAGCACTTACCTTGTCCCTGTTCCTCAGAACCACCGGCACTTCATAGACCTCACCAGGGCTGTAGTTCTGAAACACCACCTCTGGTGGGCAAGGCTGAAATGAGCTCTGCTCTGGCTCAGCTGCCAAGAACTGCAAGGAGAGGCCAGACACAAGAGAGACAGGTTCAGCTGCTGGGAGGAAGATTCTGATCTGATCCCCAGTGAAGCACAGACTCTGGGTGAGCACGTCTCCCCAGCCCACGCTGGGCAAACAGTGGCTCTTCCACCTCTGCCCTGGGCTGATCAAAAGCTCCTGGACCATGCTGAGCAGGCTCAAGCCATGCTGCTCTTTTGGCATTCTCCTCAATTATCACATCAAACAGCAAGGCCAGGGAAAGGCTACCTTGTGATGAGAGCTCTCATGCTTGTCTTGAGGCTGGACAATCTGAGGCAGACTCAGCTTCTTAGCTTTGGCCAGCCTCTGCTTGGTGCTGAGAGATACTACATAGGAATGTGTCCATGTTTTTGTTCTTCTGTTAATTAGTATTTGTTTTCTCTGTCTGGCCTGACAGAG